AATCACAAGGAAATCGAAAGTATTAAAAGATCAAAAATAGAAAGGAAAATAATAATTAAAAAAAGAGTAATGTTATTTATAACGACTCATTGTCGTAATCGCCCTATTTTTCATACATGTGATGATTAGTAATTTGATACATTAATATGATAATTTTTTATTATCTTATGTAATAAATCGTTAACTGTCACATGTATATCACGTAAAATTGAGTACCATAATGAACAATTACAAATAGCATTATTCTTTAAAAAATGTTCACATTGAAATGTCACAACTCACAGTGATAGGGAACTGACGCATACCACGAATATTACAACGAAACTCGCACTTTGCAAACGCGAAAATAGTTCAAACATTATGTGACGGAGACACTTTCCAAGTGTCCATGTTTCGAAGTAATGTTTCCTTCGTCTAAAACATTATATACGTTTACGAAACCCAGATCACTCTCTCTCTCTTAAATTCCTTTTACAGAATCGTGCTGTAAATTGTCTACGGCAACGGCGACGGACTTTCGAATAATTCTCCGGCGAATAATTTAGTGATCCAATTAGACATGAGTAACAGCGAGCTCCTCCAAATCGAACCTCTCGAACTTCAGTTCCCATGTAACAGTTTTCTATATCTGTCTCTCTTAACATTTTAACACGCAACCACACACATATAAAAGAATTTGTCTTTTGAGGAGAATGATTTAATTCTGTTCGTTTTGATCTGTGGTTTTGCTGTTCTGAATTTCTTTTTTGTTAATTGGAAAAGTTGAATTGAAGAAGCAGATCTCATGTTCCTTGCAATTAACAAACAAATTAGATAATTACGTTGCCTTCAAGGTATCAATTTTCCTCATTCAAATTTTATATATACCTGTTCGTTTGTTCATTTTTTATTTAATTTAATTTTTCTATTCTTTCAGGTTAAGACAACGAATCCAAAGAAGTATTGCGTGAGGCCGAATACCGGAGTTGTATTGCCTCATTCTACTTGTGATGTGACAGGTCTCTCTCCAAGACTCTCTCCATTTATGGCGAAAAAAATATAATAATAAAATAAAATAAAATTCCAGTTAAAGATTGTATGTGAGTTTTATGAAAAATCATGTGTATGGA